AGCCATTAATAGAAAAAGGGGCTTTGAAAGCTGTAGTAAAGAAAAGTGAGTTCAGAAGTAGAGAAGTATATGAAAACCTACTCTGATTTTTAAGGTATCATATAGTATATTAACTTTAGGTCTTCTGATCTTTAATAAAGAACTCAACCTTCCTACCTAGGAAGAAAAATGAAAAGGGAGAACTCTCAATTCTCTGGAGTACAACTGAGTGCTTGAAGAATAACTTGTATGGGAGCATAGAGTAATTTATTTTCAGCCAACCTAAGTGCCCTGGAGCCAGTTGTGTCAGGTAAAGGCAGGTGGTATTCCAGGCCTGCATATGTGTTCCTAAATGAACAGTAACCACAGTGGCCAGAGCAGTGGGGAGAGGGAAAGATCTGTGATGTCCCTAAACCACCTGTGTCATAGGTAATTGTCAATGCAGGGGAGAAGAGGCTGTTGGAACGGATATGCAAAAGAATCCAAGTCAAGTGGGCCAGAAAAAAATGCTTTAGAGGAAGCACATGAAAATGCATGTTTAGGTCCTGACAGAGTTCTGGTGTTTTTTTGTTTGTTTGTTTGTTTTTTTTTAATCATTGATGCAGTTTATTACTAAGCATGAAATTGAGTGACCAGACCCAGAGAAAAGCAACCATGTTTTTTCTGGGGGGTGCTGAGATACAGTGGTTCCTTTTTAATGGTTTTGAGAGCAGGAGAGTTGTCAGTCAGAATAAGGAGTGTTGCAGCATGGCTCAAAAGGTGGAACATATGGAAATGGAGGTTGTGGGTTATAGATGAGTTTGAAATTTTCAGATTAGTAATTGGTTAAAGAGACAGAAACAAATCTCTGTTCCTGAAAGAAATCAGCAAAAGAATGCCTGTAATTTAATCCTTACTATGGATCATAACACAATGTCTGGTGTCATTTTGTTGTTTCAGTGACCACAGCACATGTTTAGGAGACCCATTCTTGTAGAAACTGAGTCCTCATCATATCCTCCATATCCACCACTCTCCACCTCTAGTCTGCAGGCAATCTTTAGACCTGCTATTGGGGTTTGAAGTTAACTGTTTCAGTCATTTCTTCTATTACATTTGTTCCTTACATGTCCTTCTGTCCTACATCTCCATCCCTTCATTAACTCTCCTATTCTCACATTCTGGTCACTTCTATATCATCGTTCTCTTCTCTCCCTTAAGTTCAACTTGGCTAAGTCACAGAAGTACAGTAGCAGGGCAATGCTTTGGAATGGTGGAAGCCATAAGGAATAGCCCAATGGTTTGGTTCCTAGTTGGCCTATACACATTGGACATACACATATGCCCATGTTTCTGGCTGGCTAGGAAAGGCTGGGGATTAGAATGAAACGAGACCCTGTTGAGAATGCTTGTCTCTCTCATGAAAGAAATAAACAAACTTAAAAATTCTAATGAATAAAGAAAAAGATTGCAGCATGACCTTGCCCCATTCAAGGGTGCTGGTGTGTATACTCTCTCTGGCAAACATATTCATCTCTGACTACATACACACACCCACGCGCGTGTGCACACACACACATATATATACAAAGAGAGTGAGCAAGTACACAAGCGAGCCCTGTGTAAAATGAAAATCATATTATAATCATAAATCATACCCCTGAAAAGGGCATCTGAAGTGATCTGCTATCAGAATGAAATACATAACCTGTTACCACAGATGGAGTCCAGAATAGAGGTCCTCAACCAAACATATATATTAGAATCACCTAGGAACTAAAAAATTATAGATGATTAGATGCCATACCAGAGATTTCCATTTAATTGGGGTAGAGGAAGCAAACTGAACGTCAATGTTATAGGATCTCTGTAGATGATATGAACGTGGAGCCAGGGATGGAATCCTTGGTCTAAGATCTCAACTAATCTAGCACAAGATAAAAGCAAAATGGGCACTCAGTTCAGAGAAAATGCTGAAATCAAATCACTGGCTGAGTTTGCCTTCCTGTAGTTAACGTTTGCACAGCCTGAAACAAAAAGCAAAGGAACAGTGGTAGATAGAATGACATCACTTGTGTCTCTGACATTATGCCTTCTTCCTTTGTTCAATGTGCTTATCTGGCAGTTTACATTCTTTAGGTCCTGAAACTACCATGGCAGAAAGAACCTGATAATATATATTCGGTAAACAATAAATGACTCAGATATTATTGCTATATAATACTTTTATTAAAGAGTTTTATGAAAAAAAAATTTTTGTATGTGTTACATCATATAATCTTCAGAAGTGTCAGGGTTCAGTGACAAATACATGTAGAGAAGGTGGTTTCAAATCCTTACTTGTATGCCACTCCTCTGTGAAAAGTTGAAAAGCAGCTCTGTTCCTCAGATTTAAAGGTTACAAAAAGCACCATTTAAAGGAGGACTTTCACATATTTAATTTCCTTCTAGTTATATTCTCATCCTCCCTGTATGATGGACGTAGAGCTGCACTCATTCAAAATACTTCAGTGTAATTCCGACCAACATCTTCCAATATATCTAAATACAAATAAATCTCATTTATGGTACCCAGTGCAGAGATTAGGACTAATCAGTAACGTGAGATTTGCAGTCCTAAAACCACAAGCTGGGTAGGGAACATGTTCTGTAGAGGGGAAAAGAAAAGTAGGATAATCAATACCTACTATAACACTTAATATAGGTGTCCCTTGTCCATTAAACCTGACATGTGTCAAATCCATGAAGCGTTCAGTATTCAGCACTAATCTTACTGAAAAAGGTGCTATACACAATTCATCAATTCCAACTGATATTGGAATAAATAAATTTAGTTTTTAACAAAGCTTATTCACTCCAGGGCGTGGTGGCGCCCACCCTATTGTAAAGCTTATTCACTCCAAAGCAGAAGTGAGAAAAACATAACAAGACAAAGTCCATCTTAGAATCCTAGAGGGATTGCATTGCTAAGAATTGGATTCTACAAGTAACAGATTTGAGGTTTTCTTTTCTTGCTTCTTTCATATAATTTTACAAAGGCTTTGCATTTTCTTCCAAAAGCTTGGTTTCATGGCAGAAAACAGTGTTTCAATCTCCAGTTATGATTGGCACTTAAGGAAAGACAAATGCCTAAATCCACAACATTTTGAGACTCTAACTCTTCCCCATCCCAGGTCCTCCTCCCATGGGTAAATGGAGTCAACAGTCCCTGGCAGAAGACTGCAAGGACTTGACTTTCAGGATGAGTCAAAATAACACAGGAACAAACTGTATATCCACTAAGCTCATGCCCCAAATCACTGAACCGTGAGGATGTAAAAATCTCTGAGAACAGAACATATTTCAAACACACAAATAGACTGTTGCATATCATTTTAGTTGAGGTCAAAAAATTTGAAAGCCCTATTTCCCCAATTAAGAGCAGGGAATTCTATCATAAGTTTGATTCCTTCATTTATATTCTGGGTTACTATAAACCCAGCCTGGAGGTATCACTTTTTTCCATACTTAGACTTCATTTTAAGAGAAAACATGGAGTACTGAGAGGACTTATGTCAGAAACATTAGATCTACAAAAGATCAGAAATAATCACAGGCAAGTGAGTGGGTCTGGGTTTGCAGGATCCTCTCAGTGATGTCTTTTGAACTGTTTACAGAGTTTCTCTACCATCTTTTTAAAAAGCAACACTATTGAGGTTAGGTATTCCCCTGAGGTGCTGCCTACAGTGGTTCAAACTTAAAACAAGCTAACAACCCTGGTGTGGAAGGTCTCCATTCCAGTGAGATGACTGACTTAAGTATTTTACGTAATGTTTGATTGAGGCTCTGATGCAATCCACCCAAGACGTAAGTTAAAACAGAATATGAAGAAAATGGTAAAGGACGGGAACAAGAGACAAAAAGATGACAATTTACATACTGCTAATTTTATACAACGAGCTCAAAGGACATCATGTTATGCCTAATTTTTTCAAAAAGCTGATTTTCTCAGTTCTGAGATTTTATTTTCCTAAAATCACTCCTCAGCTCAGTCACTCTTCTTTCTTTTCCTCACAATCCCAAAACCATCTTACAATTATTTAAGGGTCAGGTCTCCTAAAGAGATATTTTCTTACCTGATCAGCTTTGACTTTGTGAAACTCTTATGGGGGTGGGAGGAGAAGATGGGAGGAATGAAAAAATTTTTCCTTTGACGTCACTGTGAATTTTCAAAATCTGCCAAACTCTTTTCTGCATAAAATAAAATATCCTTTCAACTACCCAATGTAAAAGGATAAATTAGTTGTATTCGGGGCTATTTTCTGTCCTACATCTTCTGTAGAACAGTTCCTTGGGGGGATGGGGGGGAACGAGATTAGGATTCTCAAGGTCTTAGATGTATTAACAGTTTAGATCGATGACGTCAAATGACTCTTTACCAGTCCCTCTTATCCAAACCTGCTGGGGACTCTCATTTAATATCTGGCTGAGATATAACCTCAGAACTTGGGGACCTGACACTCTTTGCACATTTCCAGATTCAATATACCCATACCCAATTCACAGGAGCCTCTGGCACAAGAAATTGAAGACATATCTTTTCCTCCCTACTCTGATACATCTGTGTGAAATAAATACTTAATACATAAACAATTACATTTTAATACTGCTGATATGAAATATAAACACAGCAAAACCCTCCATGCAACAACCAGGATTCTGTATCCTCCTAAGTAGCCTACTTAATGAAAAGGTATTGGATAGAAACAAAATTCTAAAGACTTTTCAGATCCTGAAAGTTGGCAGACTAGGATTTGACCTGAATATTTTAAATGGCAAACCATTCAAAAAGTGGTTGGGGTCATAAAAGGGTCTCCACAGTAGCCTTTTGCTTTCCTACAAAAGGTTCCTTGGATTGACCTTAGCAATCAACCACCAAAGCACTTACTGAGCAAAACAACCCCAAACCTAATGCCTCATACCTGGGATCCCAGAGGTCTACAACCCAAAGACATCTGTGTTGCTAGCTTTGCATGGGTAAGATAGGAGGTAACTAAACTGACCTGTAGGTACCCTTTTGATGTGGCTTGTCTCATCTTAGCAGTCAAAAAGTCTCAATCAGCAGTGTGACCTCCTTCAGTGTTGAATGTTTGACTTGCATTTATCTGTAAAATGGAAAAGCCACAGATATTTGGAGAAAAAGTGCTTTGTCTTTAAGAGTAGTTTATCTACTCATTTACAAATGAAAATCAGTGACAACACTTCAACAAACACTTCAAAAGAAGAGGCAGAAGAACAAAATGATCTTGTTAAGACTAAGTGTAAAGAGTGATACTTTTCATGACGTGAACAATAGTGACACCTTCTTGCTTGTTGGCCTAACATTAATTGAGGAAACCCTTTAGGCACATCAAATGACCCTGAATAAACTTGTGTCTGGAGCACTGTTTAGTGTAATAATGTACATAGGGTTGGCCATATTAACATAAGATTGTAGAAGACTAGAATAGAGAAGAAAATCTGAAGAACCATTTATCTAGAGCCCGAAGTGTTCCAATACAGTCTCCTAAGAATGATGAAAGGCGTTTTTAAATTAAGGAACAATACAGGCACAATCTTTTTCAAGGATAAAAGACATGCGAGTATTCCTTGGTTCTACTCCTACCTTCAGAGCTGTGTGCACTGAGAAAGAACAGACAGAAGCAAAGCCAGGCCAAGTGAGAATACCTAAGGGAATGTGCCAATACAACCAAACTTTGGCACTAAAATGAAACAAAAAGGTAGATCCGCATTCTGCCTTTTATATAATGCTGAGCTGCATTTTCTCTAATAGAAGTTAAAACAAGCAGTAACAAAGTGAGCTGGGCCTGGGCTGATCTAAAAAGAAGCCTTCTGGCAGTCCTCATCTCCAAGATGGCTAGGGCAGGTCCCACACCACTTTTCAAGGGGGTCACTTGCTCAGAGAGTTTTGTGTTAGGGAGGCGTCAGGTATTACCAGAAAGAGGCTAATTAAGAGAAAATATGAAATGCGAGGTAAGAGGGTTCTTGTGGGCCATATGACAGCATATAAAAAGGACAAATTGTGCCACATACTCTGGAATACAGAGAACCCATGCAGGAAAGGAAAAGCTGTCCCTGTAAGAAGGGTCACAGTCTAGAGAAAGAGCATCCCCTGGAGGGCCAAGATAGGAGTGATAGAACCTCTGCCCAACAAAGATCCTAAGAGTATCCTGTTCTTTCATTTTAGGAAAGAAAAAAAGTCCTATATACTCATTTTGTCAGTTCTCCTATCTCCCCCAAATGAGTCTTGGTGAGTACCCACAGGTAGACAGAATATATCTAGCTAGGGCTGGGAGACTTCCATGGATCTTTCTTTCATGTATAAATATATTCTTTTTTCTTAAAATAAATTCAATGAACTCATAAAGCTCTCATCTGCAATCAAATGCAAAAGCAGAACATCCTACTCAGAGGCTATGAAACACACTTATCAGCCTCAAAGCAAATCAGCCTTCCAGTCTCAGGGAAGACTGGTTCAGTCCAGAAACGTAAGGGAGATGCTTCTCCTGAATCCTTAGGGGTGAGAAGGGATCCCCTCAGATGGGCTTGTACAGCAGAGTAGTGACATATTTCTTCTTGTAGCGATGGGTTGCACTGAGGACCATCACACTGTCCTGCAAGGGAAAGATATACATGCATCTCATTCATCTGTTCAGATGGAAGGCAGCTCTTCCCAGTCATCATCTGTCCTTCATAGTCATTTGCTCTTAAGAAAGACTGTTTCATATAATCAAAAAAAGTTCATTCTGGAGTAAAATCAGCCTCAGTTCTAACTCTGACTTCTATTAATATTCTATTGGTGGCCTTGAATAATCTATTTAATACTTCTAAGTTTTTGTTTGTTTGTTTTTAATTTGCCAGACAGCACGTGCACTCATCAGAGAGCTGGGATAAACCACAATAATCAAGACTTTTACCTGGGTCAGAGAGAGACAGAGGGAGAAAGATTAAGAACACACTCCCTATGGGGATGGTAATGCCACAATCCCTTCTCCATCTCTCTCTCCTTGCAATTTTGAGTCGCACACATATGCACCCTGATATGTTGTGTTTTTTCTTTTCTTTTTTAGAGGTTTTTGCTATAGGGTGCGTATGCTCACCAGAAAGATAGAGAGTGACAGAGAGACAGAAAGTGAGAAATCACCCCTCAGGGGGGATGGCCACACCGCAATCCCTTCTCCATTCTCCTCTCGGGATCTTAGGCATGCACGCACACACGCCCAGCGTGAGTATAAGGCACCGGGTCCAGGATTCGAACCATGGTCAACTACACGGGAGTCCAGTGACATAGCCATTACACTAACTGCTGGTCCTACCCTGATGTGTTTCTCAGGACACCAGGTCTGGGACTCAAACCAATAGGTCATGTAAGATCCAGCTACCTTAACCACATCATGGGCTGGCCACAATGGCTTTGTCTTTTCTCCTCATTGTTACAAAGAATAACCCCTTTCACTGAGGTGGCTTTGATAATTACTAGAGAATACCTTGAACTATACTTTACAAATAAAAGGTGCTGAAGAAATACCAGCCTTTTGTCTCACTTTCTTCTCCACTTCAAATTCTAATACTGGGCTTAAAACTAGCAAAGAAAACAAAATATATCATTTCTAGACATAAGTCATAAATACAATGAGGAGAACAGGAAATTATTCTTCTGAAAAACTCTTCCCAAGTCCCATGCAGATCTAACTTCCCATTAATATCAGAGATTAACTCAAAAAAGTCTTCCCTTATCTAGCAAGAACTCAGGAATTCCCTGTATCTTTGAATAAAGTGAATACCAAAATTCTCCTTAGAAAGACATTCAATTCAATGGATCATCTCCAAATAGCCTAAACAACTAAAGAGAAATGAATGGGTCAAAGCCAAGCTGAACCATCAGGACTTTTATCCAGGTCAGTCCCAGTGAGAAGACATGAGGTACCACTTCCCAGCCTGTAACAGGCCATGGCTGTACCATAGGAGGAGATGACAGGTCTGTGGATATCAACTAAGAACCACTGAGCAGTTATAGGAGGCAAAACTGAGTCAGACCTAAAGAACCCAAGCAAATATAATTCAGAAACTTCCCCTACACTGTAGTATCTACAATAAATACTTCTCAGGTAACTTCCTGTTATCAGAGTATTTGATACACAGCTAAACATGACTGGGGCAAGGCAGGTAAAATATTAAACACCAGGAAAGGGTTGCAGAAATTAGTTGGTGAGAAAAAGACATAGTTGAAGAGACCTGGCACAATGATACATAGGAAAGAATATGGGATTAGGAGGACTGGACTTTAGTCTTGTCTCCGGTATATTCTGGTAATTTTACCCTCTTTCGGCCTTAGTTTCTTTATTTGTAAATAATGGGTTAAAAATAATACTTACCCCACAAGGGTATTATAAAAATTAAATTCAAGGCCAGCCAGGTGGTATGGTAGTGAGGGTGCCTGGATCCTACATGGCCAACGACATGATTTAAGTCCCGGACCCTGCAGCTTGAAAAACACACAATGGCTTGAAAAACATGCCAGGCATATGTGCCTTCATGCTCAAAATTTCTCAAGAGGAGAATAGAGAAGGGTGTGGCCATCCCTCACAGTCTCACTTTCTCTCTCTCTCTTTCTCTCTATGGTGAAAGCATATGCCCTATAGCAAATCTAAAACAAACAAAAAATTAAATTCAGTAATATACTACTATAATATAATCTGTTACTGTCAAGTCATATCATATCATATCACTCTATCAGTGAGTTCCCTAATTAAGCAGTACATCTAAGAAATATAAGCAGCTTAAGAAAAAAATGACTGGGCCCATCCTATAATCACTTATTCAGAGTCCTTGGAGATGGAGCTGCAGAATTCACACCCTTCCCCAGGTAATTCTCATAATGATCAGTCTCACTTGAGAACCACCCAGAGATATAAATTCTTGATTCCAAGAATCAAACAGCAAACAAATGACTAGACAGAACAGAATGGCTATTTTTCAGTACAGGTTCGTCAGTAGCAGAGAAACCAAGGAGAACCAGAGAACTGCAGAGGACAGGGCAAGTCTGGTCACATTCCTCCTTTACATAGGAAAGATTTAAGCACTTGATGAATGAGGCACCTGAAGGTAGCTCAATGCCACCTTTGAGAAAGAAGAAGCCTTAGTATTATATTTAAGCATTCTTTGAATTGGCAGCTAAACCTGCTTTCTGTGTGTGTGTGCATTTTATTTGTTTGGTTTGTTTTTTTTTCAATAGTGTCTTGCTATGACAGGACCCTCCTGCTTCATTCTCCAGAGTAGCTGGGACTGCTGTCTGAGGCTTTTCGCCCTGCTCTCTTGGGCAGGGTCTCACCACACTGCCCATGCTGGGCAGAAGCTTACAGTCTTTGTCGCAGCCTCCTGAAGAGCTGGCACCATAGGCATGCACTACCATGGACTAGGGATCAACCTGGGCTTCTCATGCGGTTTCAACCCATGGAGCAGCAGCATCCAATGTACACTACTAAATCTTTTTCTACAAATCAAAGCCTATGACTATGAACTCAAACTTATGTAAATAAATAGGTGGCATAGAGGTTCCAGTCACCCAAAAAGAAACTGAGAAGGAAGAATTCCATTCAATTGCAGAGCAATTCAGCTGGTCAGAATGCACAGATAGACTGAGACTTAAAAACAAGCAACTAGGGGCCAGCAGGTGACATAGTGGTTTAAGGCACTGGGCTCACACAAGGCTCTGAAGTTCAAGTACTGGACCTGGAGGCTTGCTTTCTCTCTCTCTCTCTTCTCTCTCTCTCTTTCTGGTGAGTGCACATGCCTTATAGCAAATTTAAAAATAGTAATAATGATACTAGTAAAATTAGTCTTTAAAAAAATAAAAACTGACTAGTTAAAGAAAGTTCCATAATTTGACCATTTCTACCAGCTTTATCCTCAATGAAACTGCAGAGCAAGAAATCACAAGAGAACATGTGTTAGCCCTCCACTCACATTTCAGGGGCTCTGTAAGGAGCCAGGGCCACCACTTACCTTAATGGACAAGGCATAGAGATGGTTCAGCATAACATGGTTGGGCTCAGGGAGTAAGGCTGGGTCGCACTAAAGGAAAGAAGCAAATGACTAACTGGAATTAAATGCACAAACACACCAAACAGCTAACTTCTTCTCAGAGCCCTTTGGGATTAAGAAACTCGAAACTACAACACATTACCTCTTTTAAATTATGCACCTACACTAGTATATACTCATTGTATTGGTGTATACCAATACATTTCCATTACACAAAATTAGGCAAAATCTCAGTCCAGACAGAAACCCTAAGCTTCAACAAGTACTGATCTTCCTTACTACAGCTAATAATATAAAAGGAAGATTTGTGTTAAGAGGGAAAGATAATCTCAGTAGGAATCACACAGCTTGAAGAGATTAAACTATAGATTTTTGCTATAGGGCATGTGCGCTCGCCAGAAAGAGAGAGAGAGAGACAGAGAGTCAGAAAGCGAGAAATCACCCTCCAGGGGGGATGGTCACGCCACAATCTCTTCTCCTCCGTTCTCCTCTCGGAACGCACGCACACGGGCCCGGCGTGAGTTTAAGTCACCAAGTCTGGGACTCGAACCGTTGTCGATTACGTGGGAGTCCAGCGACACAGCCATTACACTAACTGCTGGTCCCAAATTTCTTTAATTCCTTTGTATATTCCCAAATGATAAGTACTCCCTATCTTGTGTTGGACTAGACATCCCAGAAATGGGTTTGAGCAAATTAGCAATGGTCCTGATTTTATTAGGACCAGGAGACAACTATGAGGCCACACAGAGGCCACAATTCAGCCCTGGGGAAATAAATCTATAATTATATTGATATACATGTTTTAAAATTTCAATACTTCTTTGTAATAATCCCTCTAGGATCACTGAACTTTGGCCTAAATGGTCTGCGAGATCCCCTAGATGACCCAGCTATACTCTAGGATACTCACAGAAATATTAGTGTCCTTGTTAAGAATAACTTGGAGTAAGTGAGGAGGAAGGATGGGTGGAGATTTGAATCTCTCTTCAGATCGAAATACATACATTTCTTGACCATAAGGCCCTGGGGGTGAGCTGGAAAGGTCTGAAAGATATTAATAAAAATAAGAGGAACAGTTAGAGAATCAGTAAGAATGCATGGAAAAAGCTATTAATGCATGGCATCTAATGTTAAATATGGAAAAGCCATAGATCATAAACTTATGACCTGTTGGGACTGTAACTGCAAGATAACCAAAGGAAGAGTGAATTACTTTGGACATAACCATGACGTTCCTAAATGTGGCAACATAATTTAGAGAGAGGAAGAAATGAGGGGTCAAAGACAATTATTTGGTTATATGATCTTGGTGAAATTCCTTCAATATGGTCAGTTTCATCATACATAAAGTAACTGGGCCAGTCAGTGGTATGGTGGTTAAGACAGCTGGATCCTACATGGTTAAATACACGGTTGGAGTCCTAGACCTAGCAGCTTGAAAAATACACCAGGCATATGTGCTTCTGTGCCCAAAAATCCCAAGAGGAGAAGGGAGAAGGGACTGTGGTGTAGCCATCCCCCAGGGGGTGCTTTCTCATCCCCCTACCATCTGTCTCTCTCCAGCAAGTACATACATCCTATTGTAAAAAAATAAAATAATCTTTGCCCTATTTGATAATGATTTTAAAGGCAAACACAATGATGAATATGAAGCTGCCTTGTAATCTTTCAAATGATATGAAATGATTTGGTTTCTCCTTCTACCTGACCAACAAGAAAGATCATAAACTCTAAGCCATAACAATGATTGCAGCAAAAAGGACAAAATATACGCAGTAGTCATTAGAGAAATGCAAAATAAAACCACAGCACTGCTTCATATCCACTGGGTTGGCTATATGAAAAAAGATAGACAATATCTTTTTTTTTTTAAAAAAAAAAAAAAAAAAAAGTAGTGTACATTGGATGCTGCTGCTCCATGGGTTGAAACCGCATGAGAAGCCCAGGTTGACCCCTAGTCCATGGTAGTGCATGCCTATGGTCCCAGCTCTTCACAGGAGAGAGAAAGAGAAAGTGACAGAATGTAAATAAATAAATTTAAATTAAAAAAAAAAAAGAAAAAGAAAAAAAGAAAGTGAGAAGGCACACCCTACAAGGCTGATCACACATTCCCTTCTCCCATTTCTCCCTCTCCAGCCACTTTAACCACCATGCCACTGGCTGACCCAAACAGGAGCATATATCTTTATATATCCAAGACAAATGAAAACACATGTCCATACAAAACTTGTACATAAATGTTCATAACAGGATTATGTATAATAATCAATAAGTGAAGACAATCCAAATCTATTAATTAATACACAGATAAACAAAATCACATGTCCATACAATGGAATTTCATTCAGCCATAAAAAAGAGCAAACTACTAATACACGTGACAATGTGAATAAAGCCTAAAAATATCATGCTAAGTAAAAAAAAAGCCAGACACAAAACACATGTTGTATGATTCCATTTTAATGATATGTTCAAAGTAAGCAAATCTATAAAAACAGAAAATAGATTTGTGGTTTCCAGGGATGAAATGAAGCAGGGAATGAGGGCCAACCTAGAAATAGCTTTTCAAACTCTAAGTTATAGCCCATTAGTGGGTTATAAAAAATAAAACAGAATACGTAATCAATTATATTAATTTTGCAATAAAGGTGAAAATTGTACCACAGGACTTGTCTTAGTGTACATGTGTCTCTTTGTTTGTATATGTGCACACAGGCCCATGTACTGGGTTGCAATGCAAAACAAATGTCTTACTGTTGAAACTAGTAAAAAAAAAAAAAAAAAGTTTGAAATAAAATATACCAGACTAAGATGTGTTTTGCTGCAAAGGGGACATAAATGTTTACAAGACAAGATTCAGGTTCAAATTCCTGCAGAGAAATGGAAAAACAAAATTGCCTTTGAGAAAGAGCATGCATTACAAGAAAGATACAAGGCAAATCTTACAAAATTACCTCGACAAGATGTCTCAGAGCTTTCCATAGAATCTAGCTTTAACGCATCAAACACTTCAAAATCAGATTTCTTGACCTGAATCAAATTGTTAATTGTCCCAAGTTGACTGGTAACCACAGGCTGAAACAGGGAATAGAAAAATTACTGAATAGATTGAAAAACTGTGGCACATATACTCTATGGAATACTATTCAGCCATAAAACAACAAAACCCTGGCTTTTGACAGAAAGTGGAAGAATATGGAAGATTTACTGCTGAGTAAAACAAGTCAGGCTATGAAGGAGAGACATTGTATATGTCCTCCTGAATATATACTGAGTGTCTGCACTGTATGACTGAAACTGATGGACTAAAGGATACAGAAACACAGTAAATGGATATAAATACCAGATAAAGTGTGTGTGAAAGAGTAGGGTCTGAGGAAGGACATTTAGAAGAAAAATAGAGAGGCTTAAGCATTAATGGGACAAAGAAATGTGGTATTATCTGTTGAAGATATTTTATAGTTTTATCAACTCGACTAGGGAGAAATGTTCACATGTTGAAATATTTCACTTTGTAAGTTAAATAATGTGATTGAATATATAAAATAAAATTTAAAAAGGTAAAAGAAAAATTACTGAATGCCCTTCCCAAATCCATCTTTTCCAATCAAACCTCTTTAATTTAAAGCTAAAAATGACTATACTCAGCACTTCCATCTGTTATCAAGAGAGAATGCCTCCAGGGTAGGGAGCTGTTACCCATCAATCTGGACAGCAATGACAGCTAAAATGAGACTGCTAGGTTGATGGCTACCCTTGGAGGTCTTACCTCTGACGGATCATGAACCCACTGTCCATCCACAAAGAACTTGTATTGGTGCTCTCCCTCTGGTAAGTCCAAGATGGCAACAAAGTCATTATGGCTAGAGAAGAAAATTCAAAGTCAGACAGGCCAATTATATTCCTACCCATTATATCCCCTTAGTGTAAAAATAATTTACAAGCCCATTTTCCTTTTCTATATCACCTTGCATCTATAATTTGCACGCCCCTCAACTTTAGTTCTCAACCAATAACTGAAAAAGAGTAAGAGAAACACTGATCCTGTAAAATGGTTCACGTTAGTACAACTACTTTCAGAAGAATAGATTCCTCAAAAGTATAAATAACGGGCAGGTTCAAGATACAGAAGTGCCTCAAGGTACTCTCTATATTTTAGTAAGTCTTTTCTGGAAAACAACCTACCATACAAATGGCCACTCTGACCACTGTTTAAACAAGTCAGTATTGCTTTATAAGCAACAAATACCATCACTGCCTAGAACTTTACAATGTGTTTTGTTTTAGTGTAGTCGGAGTAACAGGATTTGGTCACTTAGGGAAGACTTTCCCCCGCATAGAAAGGACACGTATAACACAGTGCTAAGGAATGTACCCACAAAGCTGTCCTAACTCTCTAAGATGATGATGATATAGTGGTGAAATATCTCTGATCCACTATGAGGTTTAAAAAAAAAAATACCACAGATACAGAAAGTGGTCACAAAAAAGGTCATGCTCCAGAGAGAGTCCTTAGCAGGTAGAGAAAGTAGTCCAGTCAGGCCTTTTTTCTGAGAAAGGAAATCAGGTCTCTGCTCCTGGGCCCTGTAGACTGAATAAGACATTTGTCTTCACCTCTTAATCAGTGGAATCTTGGTGCTCCAATTGTTGAAGGACCCAGATATGAAGACCTCCTTGCCTCCTTCAGACCAGCGGATAACAGTGGGCCGGGCCTGTTGTGTGGGCTTTACGGAGTCCTCCAAATCCTGCTGCCATGATACAAACTCTTTGTCCCCAGGGAGCTGTAAGAAGGAGTACATCATCCCTAGAATAAACTGTGACCCCTGAATTCTAAAAAGGTCACTCTCCTCCTAGAGGGGTACTAGGCTTTGATTAAGGATATAAGCCCTAAGAGTCAGCAATGAAATCGAATTTTGAACAAACTAAAACAAATTTAAAAATAAAAAATCTCATCTAGGAACAAAAGTGGTCAAATTGCTTATGCTTGAGTACTGCCTACATCATAACCTAATTTCTAAGTCTGCACACATCACCCACCCTTTCAGTCTTAGGATCGCCCTTGAAAAATAACACCAAACCCTGCTCCCTATTACCAGTTGAACTCGTAGGCAGGCCACTAGGATATGCCTCTGAGTCTCTCTTAAGAGAAGAAATATATAAAGTACGGCTCTACAAAATATAAAGTCAGCTATATATTTTCATAGTCGGTCATATATTTTTCATATTTCATATTTATAAACAGCCCTTTATAATCAGGTATAAAAAAAGTTTAGTGATACCAACATCCATAAGTTTTTCTTTCATAAATTCTATTTTAGCAAATAGGTTACAAAAAGAGACATTAAAAATTCGTAAGCCAGGGGCCAGCAGTTAGCATAATGGCTATGTTGCTGAACTCCCATGTAGTCAACCGTGGTTCGAGTCCTGAACCCAGTGGCTTAAACTCACACCAGGCGCATGTGCATGTGTGCCCAATATCCCGAGAGGAGAATGGAGGAGAAGGGATTGCTGTGTGGCCATCCCCCCCCCGGGGGGGGGGTGATTTCTCGCTTTCTATATCTCTGTCTCTCTCTTTCTGGTGAGCACACAGGCCCTATAGCAAAAAACCTCTTAAAAAAAAAAAAATCAAAAGCCAGGGGCCGGGAGGTGGTGTGGTGTTTACAAGTGCTGGACTTCCATGTAGTCAGCCATGGTTCAAGTCCCGGTTCTAGTAGCTTGAAAATCACGCTGGGTGCCAAGTGCATGTGTGCCCAAAATCCCAAGAGGAGATTGGAAGAGAAGGCCATCCCACCAGGGAGTGATTTCTATCTTCCCTGTCACTGTCTCTCTCTGTCCCACTCCAATGAGTAGAGAGCCAAGAGCCCTATGCCAAAAACCTAACAACAAAACCAGATCACTGATTTTTTTTAAAAAAACTGAAATGTAGTTATAAAATCTGAATAATTAGCCTATGCCAAATTTCAACTAATTATTTCAGGAGAAAAGGTGAATATTCTAGCGGAGTCTAAAGTAACAAGAGATCAAGGACAGCTTCCTTTAACAAAAGCAGTTCCATTATCAAATGAAGTTTGTAGGATTCTGAAAACAAACAGGCAAACAAGCAAGCAAAAACTCCTTAGTTTTTTCTCATTGCCTTCCTTTTGGACAGGTGTTAGCAAACAATAGCCAATGAGCCCTATGGCTTTATAAGGTTTTACTGAAAACCATTATCATTTGCTTACCTGTTAGCTATAGCTGCTTTCACGCTACAGTGACAGAATTGAGTGGCTGTGACTCCTGCCCTTTACAGAAAATCTGTTGACTCCTGCTTTAAGTCAGATTAAATGACACTGGTAAACAGTAAATAAGATTGTACAATATTAAGCCAAAATATTACCAAATACTATAATGTGGACTAGAAAAAAAAAATGACTTGCTTATTCATTTGAACTTTCTTTACAAAATGGTTGAAGGAGTTTACCTTCCATACTATCTCTCAGTATTCCTCAAAACTATAGTATGAGACATCAGTAACAGCTTAGTCCAAAGTAAACGGAGAAAGGGAACTGGAGAATTTCATGTTATGTAAAGAACTGGCTTAAGAGAAAACCTTGGCCTTCGTATTCTCAAAGCGATGCACTCTTTGACAGATGTTTTGTATTAAAATTACAGAAATGTTTATATATTCCTAAGAATAACCCTTGGATTCTGATTTTTAGGATCTGAGAATCTATTTTAAAAAAGTTTTCCAGAGAATTATACTATGATTATGTATTCAAATTAAAAAAAAAAAAAAAACTCACCTTTAGAGGCTCATCCTAAAATATTCCAAATAAAATAATATAGAATATTATATCTGGAACTTCAAAACAACTGGTGGAAGGGATAGCTTATTGGGATATATGACATAGGTTCATTCATGATTTAATCATTATTTAACCTGGATGACTGAGAAGGAGTTTACAATACTGTCCTCCCTATTTTGTAAATGTTTCAACTTTTTCATAAAGTACTTGAAAATGAAATGATTCTAATGTGCAAACAGAACTGAAAACTACTGAACTAGTTCACTGAAAAAGGCTGGCATTTGAAGTAATGTAGGCCCCACTACCACTGTTCTCTGTTACTTTTATGATAGCATTTTCACGTTAGAGTTAGAAAGCTACCAACTATTAATATGCCTACCTTTGGAGGAAAGCCCTTCCACTCATGCCATGTTTGTAGTAGGAATGAATAAAACTGATTAGCAGAAAGATTATTTACTCCAAGTTAAGTAGCCAGCAAAACAATCACTATAGTTTGACAATATTTAAAAAGTGAAAGTTAGGTTGAGAACTAAAATAGTTAAGATTTGGATGAGACGTTGGAAAGTATATACACCAATTCTCTTATTTCATGAATGGTAAGAGTGTAGTGAGAAAGAATAACCAAAATAGATTCCAATTCCGACAGAGCAACCTGGCTTTTACTCAGGACACCAGTTAGCAGTCACTGTCGACAAATAACACTATACTTATATCCTGAGTCATCAATGCAGGAAACAGTAAAAACTACAAGGCAGATCACCTTGAGTAAGCTTTGAAGAAGTAAATACAGATGGCTGTAGACACCCCAAATGATGAGGGTGAAGTCCTGAAGTGGGAGGGAGAAGAAAGGAATGGAGAAGAAATCCCAAGAAATGCTCCTTTTAGTCACTCACTTCACTCTCTGTGATTATGTTCTCAGCTGGAATCTATGAAAATAAATCACAGAATCCAAATGTCATGTGCTACCAATGTGGTAATACCTGATTTATTCTCTAAGGCTTAAGTTTGGTGGGAGGTGATGAAGAAATACCAAACACACCTCAATCTCCTCAAGCCCTCAGATTTTCTATTTTATCCTAGCCAGACCATCTGGAGGAATTAAACGTATTTAATGCTGCAGGCAGCTCTCAAAGTGATTAGAAATATTAGTATGGTATCACAGGGCCATCTAATTCACCTGTTCTTTCTTTGGGTAAGGAAAACACAAATTGCCCACTTCCTGAAAGTCCTTGGAATTAAAAAAAAAAAAACAAGTTCTTGGAATTGAGAGCAAGGTCTTCAGGGCAAATGTGGGCTGTCTTTGTCCCTGACAGCATTCTAAAGCATATGGGGGATGGGAGAAGTCCTAGAATAATTTGCTCTCTTACTTGAGGGCCTCTATTATAAAATACAAGATGAGGGTGAGTAGGAGAGAGTATTCAAATAAGCAAGTGGATGGTGCTCACAGCCATGCCGAAGGGGAAAAGGATCTCGGAAGCACGAGGCTCCTAGACGGACAAAAATGATATTGACACATATTTGTTCTCAGAAAAAAAGAAATTCATGTAGCCACTGTGATAGACAGTGAGTCAGTCATGAGCAGGCAGCCCTAAGAGAAAAGCGAAAGGCTCATCTAGCTCAGGCGCCAGGAGGGAGAGACAATTTGCCATCTTCCTTCCTTGAGGCCTGAGGGAAGCGCACAGAGATGATTCCTAGATTTTTCTCTTATCAAAAAGACCTAAGCAAACATTTGGGTCAATGCCTTAATTCCCATTAGGGCGATGGACTAATTGGGCAGTCTAATTGGGGCAACCTGGCTTACATTAGGCGAGTGCAACTAGGTGATCAAGTTCCTCATTCTTTACCTGTGAGGAAGGTGCACAGGTGCAGGGAAAGAAGGTGTGGATTCAAATTTAAAGGAAGAACACAGGCAGCTTAACGGACCCCCCCATTAATGAATATTCATGACCTCTAGTAATAAAAATAACGGTTAACTAGTACCAAGCGTGGTTGCCATCTGGCAATCTGCCCGCCCAAGAATCTTTTTTGGGTGTACTTCCTTTCTTTCCTTTCCTCTCTTTCCTATTAAATCTTTTCTATCTACTTCATTCGTGGTTGCGGTTTCATTTTGCGCCTAGGGACAGATCTCTAATTTTAGTTGATCTGGACCCAAAGAACCAAGGACATCACAACGCAGGTCGAGACTCTCCCATCCGTTAACACCACCTCGGAGCAAATGTGAGAAACTGTCACCTACGGTCAGCAGCTCAGGCGACCTGTATTCTGGTTTCCCATCAGCGTTTCAACCTTCACATTCAGCAACTTTCTAGAAGAGAACACCCGCCCAGGTTAGGAGAAGTAAGGATGAGGAGGAGGGCATAAGGGAGGGGTCTCTCGTTCTCATCCTAAAAAACGTGGCCAACACATTATAGTCAGAAACTGGAATACAGGAACTCCGCCTCTATCCTATTTTGGGCCAGCACCGCCTGAGGAATTACCACCTAACACCTCCGTCTCCGGAAAACCCCTTTAATTAAAAAAAAAAACAAAACGGTAGCCAGTTGACCATGCTGAGAAAGAAGCAAGGCAGGGAGGAGGCCGGGGAAAACAAGCCGGCGGCAGCACCGCCACCCGCTGGGAGCCCGGGTACTTACCTTGGAGTCCGGCAGGCTGAAGACGCTGGGGTCGTCCGTGCTCCCCACCATGATCTTGTGCTCCTTGCCCGGGGCATGGCCGCCGGCGCCCTCCGCGCGTGCAGCCTTGGAGCCGGGGCGCTCC